GGGGGGGGGGGCCGCAAGGCGGGGGGGGGCCGAGCGGGGGAGGGGGGGGGGGGGCCCCCAAAGTGGTGGGGTTGTTGTGTTGGGCCAAAGTGATGGAGAAGGTGCGCATTATGGGGTCATAGTTTGTCCGCACCACCCGCACTCTCGGGGCTCCCCGCTGCAACAAACCCAAACCCTAAACCCTAAACCCTAAACCCTAAACCCTAGGCCATCCCAGCGGATACATGCCGGCACAAATCCAAGCAACTAACAGACCCAAGCCTCAAATAGCGGCCGCGCCCGGGGGGCCCCTGGGGCCCCCCTGGAGCCCCTGAGGGCCCCCCCGGGGGGCCTCTGGAGGGCCCCTGGGGGCCCCTGGGGGGCCCCCAGGGGGCCCTGGGGGCCCCTGTTGGGCACCTGTGCGAGCCAGCGCTGGAACTGGGAAAGGTCGGAGGCATTTGCTTCCTCCATGGCACTTCGGAAGTCTTCAGAAGTGGCGGAGGCCCCGTCGTGGCGCAAAAGGAAAAGATCTAGTCCTTTGCGGAAGCCGGGGGCCCCCAGAATGGTCCAGTACCTGCAGCAGCAGCAGCAGCAGCAGCAAGGTCAGGGGCCCCCCGCAGCAACTTGAACTGACGGGGCTCTTTGCGCGCGTTCAAAGCCCTTTTCTCTCTTAGCTCTACTTTCGCTGCTGTTCATGCTGCTGCAGCAGCAGCAACAGCAAAAGAAGCAGCAAAGGGAGCGGCAGCAGCAGCAGCAGCAGCGCACATGCGGAAGACTTCAGCGGCCCAGCGGTGGAAGTTGCTGCTGCTGCTGAAGCTGGTCACTGAGGCGAAACTTTCGGGGCGCAGCGAATGGACCATTGGTCCACTGGGTCCTTTGGAGTGGTCTGGAGACATTTGCTGGAAGTCCAGAATGCGCTGTGCTGCAGCAGCGCCCAGTTTGCTGCTGAGCAGCTGCTGCTTGAAGGCCGCCAGCCCCTCTTTCAGCCACATCTCCGACCAGTCCCTGCAGCAGCAGCAGCAGCAGCAGCAGCGAGGGGGGTTGAGCGGCAGCAGCAGTCCCACACTGCCACGCGCAGCAGCAAAACGCATGCAGCAGCGGCCCCCAGCCTCACGACCAGCAGCAGTAGCAGCAGCAGCACCTGATGGTCACCCTGTTTCCCATCCAGTTTTGGAAGTACAGATGAGCTACTTTGGACACCACTTCTCTGAACTCCTCGTCTGAACAGCAGCAGCAGCAGCAGCAGCAGCAGGTGGCGGTGCGTTCACGTTCGAAGGCCGTGCGCCGCCAAAGGCAGCAATGGGCAAAGGCCCGCAGCAGCAGCAGCAGCAACAGCAGCAGCAGCACCTGTGTTGCTCTCGGGGTCTGCGAGGACGCCGCTGCAGTCGAAGAGCAGCAGGCCCTTGCTCTGCATGCTGCTGCTGCTGAAGTCCTTCAAACAAACGAAGTTCAAAACATCCAAATCATATTCGCGGCCAAATTCCTCTTCATCGAATTTCATGCTTTCTTTCAAAGCCTCTCGCCCGGGGCCCAAGTGCAGCAGGTCGTCGGGGTCTCCGAAGAAGTTCAGCGCCACTTCCCGCCCGCTCTGCAGCAGCAGCAGCAGCAGCAGCTTCGCGTCAGCAAGAATTCAGCCGCGCCGACCAGCGCAGCTCGGCACTTCTACGAGCCGCACGCTGTCCGCAGCAGCCGCCGCAGCTGCTGATGCAGCAGCAGCCATCTGCTGCTGCTGCTGCAGCTGCTGCTGCAGCGCGTGGGGCGGAGCGCACCATTGTGCGGAAGGAGTCTGGGATGCGCGTGAGTTTGCCGGCGATGGCGGCGAAGAGGTAAGTGGGTTTCGGAAAAGGGTCTTCGAAAATGGCGAAGTGGCGGCCTGGACGATCTTGAACAACTCCTTCGGCCATTTTATTTCCGTTGCTGAGCAAAACTGGAAAGCGCTCGCGGTCGGCTTCGAGGCGAACCTGCACGCGCGGACGCTCAGGTGTACAGACACCCCGATCGGTGGAACGGAAACCTCGGCGATTAGCCGGGTTCCCGCGGTCACTTTCGTTTAAAAATTTGAAAACTGAAGTAATTTACTAAATTAAACTGAATGGCGAAAGAATTAAATCGAGATCGCGAAATTTTTTTCCCGATCTTTCCGCGCGCACCCGGTACCGCGTCAAGACGTCCGGGCGATCCAGCATGTAAGTGATCCTCCGGAAGCCCTCGGCCTCGCATTTCGTGACGAAAAATCCATTTGCAAAATAAAGTCCTTCAAGTTGAAAGTTTTCTTTGGGATTTATCCGCACGGAAGTGCTGAGGGTGAAGGCGGCGTTGGGCTGCTGTGGCAGCAGCTGCGCGCGCAGCCGCAGCGCGCCGCTGCGCTCCAGCGAGTACCCCGCCTCTCCGTCTTGCAAAATTTCTTTTCCATTTAAAACCACTTTTTCCAATTTCAAGTTCTCGCCATCCAACACCAAGTCCTCAGGGTCGGTGCCTTCGCGCCGCCGCAGCCGCAGCCGCGACAACACCTGCACGCCCAAGTCCGCGCAGTCGGCTGCCTCATTCGTTCACTAGCAGCAGCAGCAACGCAGC